TGCAGGAGCAGGCCCTAGCGGTGAGCGGTTACGGAGCTGGGGTTGGGAAGCTGGGGTTGTAACTACAGGAACATGCTACTGACCACCCTGTGGCACTGGCTGGGTGTGTGGCTCCCCTCCTCGCTCCTCGCTGAGCGCCTCAGACGTCCCATCCTCGCTGCTCCCTGCAGCCCCACTGCCCTGCCCGGGGCTGCTGCTGGCTCAGTGGGGAGAGGCTGGGGGGGGGCAGAGCGTGGAGGCTCATCCCACAGCCTGGCTTTGTTTGAGCTGCCAGGCTGGAGAGGCTGACAGTGCCACTGTTTTCATGCCAGCCCCGCATCATTGCGCATCCCCCAGCCCCAGGGCTGCTCCCTGCATGACGCAGGTCTGCCCGGAGCAGCAGCGTCTGCCAGGGCAAGTGCCTGCCTGTGCGTGGAGCTTGGGGAGAGGAGCTCCTGCCTGCCTGGCTTTGTTTAACCCTGGCCTGGTGTCAGTGGGACCAGAGCAGGAGTGTGGCTCTTGGCATGGCCCAGTCCTTGGGAGTCAGGCTGTGTTGGTGTTGGATGGATGCTGTTGGTTGGATGTTGGCTGTTTGTCACCCGCAAGACAGTGACAGAAGTGGTTCCCCTGCTGCAGCGGAGGAGATCTTGGTGATCACACCCTGGGCCCAAGTGCTGCTTCACACTTCACACCCACAGCTGCTTCACTCTTGTGTTTTCCTTGCCAGGTCTCGTTATCTCACACGTCCTGCAAGTCACAGTCTTGTGGGGGTGGTTCACACTCCTCTTCCTCCTCCTCCTCCTCTTCTTCCTCCTCGTGCCACGGGAACTCAGGGGACTGGGACCCGAGCTCATTCTTGTCTGCTCACAAGCTCTCGGGCCTCTGGAACTCGCAGCACACCAACGGGACCGCGCAGGGCAGCCCCCTCGGGGCCCCCCCAGCTGCACTAGGTGAGTTGAAGCTGGACATGGGCTTGAGCAGAGCTTTCTGCCCAGTTCTTGTGGGCAAGGGTGGGCAGGCTGGGCCTCTGAATCCCAATGCAAATAATATGCCTGCTTCTCTTTGCAAAGGCAGAGGGTGCTGGGATTCAGCCCCAGCTCTACATTTTTCAGCATGGAGAAGAGAAGGTTGTGGGGAGACCTCATAGTAACCTAGCAGTATCTGAAGGGCCTAAAAAGGAGCTGGAGAGGGTCTCTTCAGCTCTACATTTTTCAGCATGGAGAAGAGAAGGTTGTGGGGAGACCTCATAGTAACCTAGCAGTATCTGAAGGGCCTACAAAGGAGCTGGAGAGGGTCTCTTCGTTAGAAACTGCAGTGATAGGACAAAGGGTAACAGGCTCAAGTTGAAAGGGGGAAATTTTGGCTAGATGTTAGGAAGAAGTTTTTTCCGTGAGGGTGGTGAGACACTGGCATAGGTTGCCTAGGGAGGGAGTGGATGCCCCAACCCTGGCAGTGTCCAAAGCCAGGCTGAATGAAGCCTTAAGCAACCTGTTCTGATGGGAGATGTCCCTGCCCAGGGCAGGGAGTTGGGGCTGGATGATCTCTGAGGTCCATTCCACCCTGTAAAAATTCTATGATTCCATGATTCTGTGGTTCCTTCCAGGTGACAAGCACCCTGGCCTCGCTCTGTCTCCGGAGTGCCCCAACCAGGCGCCCGCTGTGGCACCAGGGCTCAAGGCCTGTCCCTACAGCCACGCAGCCTCCCCCACCTCCAGCAGCGCCGCCCCGGGCTCGCCTCTGCCTACCTCACTCGACTTCTGCAAGACGCTGCCGAAGCAGTTCAAAAGCTTGTGCCGGAGGGCCACCCCGCCAGGTGCGTGCTCGGGGCAGGGCTGGCCACGGCCTCCCGACCTGCTGCTCCACAGCTAGTTCCCTTGCCCTGCTCTCCACGGGGCAGGACTGAATGCTGCAGGGAAGGCACGGTGCTCCCGAGGCCCTGTGTGAGCAGCGATGGCTTTCAGCCCGAGCACTCCGTGCATGGGGAGAGTAAGGGTTTGTCCCATGGAGAAGTGGCTTGTGGAGAGGCAGTGGGTGGGGAGGGGAGGCCAGTGGGACTGTTGGCGTCTGACTCTTTCTGGTCCTGCCCCTTTGCAGGTGAGGCCTTCCACTCCTCAGAGCATCATCAGCACTCCGACCTCACTGCTCCTCCCAACAGTCCCACTGGCCTCCCCTCCCAGCCGCCGGCGCTGATCCCCTCCAAGCAGACACCTCCCCACCCGGGGCCCTTTGGCTCTCCCCCGCACATCCCACTGGGTCCCTCCTCACAGGCCGCGCTCTTCCCCGCACCCAGTGCCCAGGCCGTGGCCCCAAAGCCTGTGTCCGAGTCCCCCCCGGCTGGCGCCGCCTCGCACAGCCCAGGGCCATGCAAGAGCCCTCACCTGCCCCCTGCCAACGTGCCACTGCTGAAGATGCCACCTCCGCTGTCGGGCTGTGCTCATCCTTGCAACGGGCACTGCAGCACCTCACTCATCCCTCCTCCTGCCTCCCACCAGCTGCCCAGCACCAACAGGTGAGTAGAGCAGCCCTGCCTGCTCTCCTCCCTGGGCCACAGGCCCTTTTCTCCCTGCCCTGCCCATGGACGAGCTTTTTCCTGTGGAGGGACCGGCTGGCCCGGCGGGAAGCGCGGGCGGCTTTTGGGG